ATGATAGACTGCAATCAAGGAAAAGACGACGAGGATCCTATGCCTTGTGATAACTGAGTCTACAGTTGATCACCAGTTCACAATGGACAAGTAGCAGAAAAGATCGTTAAAATCTAAGATGGCAAACAAAATAAAGAATCGGGGACTGAAACTTGAGATACTTCTTAAGATTAAGGCAAACACAAATGGAGCAAAACACAGACAATGACAGAGAGAGAGAGAGAGAGGGAGGGACCTCAGTCCATTGGTTTGAGGCAGGTATTCTCTACAACGGTCAGATACGTTATATAGCTGTGAAACATCTGTAGGCAGTCGATAGAATAACTTGGAGATAGACGCTGCAAGGACCCGAAATATAGTAGTGATAGGGCTACCTTTTGGTTTAGCGTATTTATAGGTACAAGATCCAGTCAAGAATAATAATGCCACCACTGTATAACATATTGTTGGGATACCAAACCAAAGTGACCACGGTGATATGTATGAAAATCCTAAAACAGCAGAAGCTTTGAACAGCATCACCGCGCAACGTTGCAGAGACCAGACGTCTAGCCCGATAGAATCTTCTCCAAGTTGATCATTTATGAAAGAGCTTATGCTTACTGTTTGACCAGATCCTCCAAGAGCAAACAAAGCCAACCCGGTGTAGAAGAGTATGCGCTGGCTTTGACCAATGCATTCAGGCTCATAAGCACTGCATGTTCCAGTAGCCTTAGCAAGGACTGGTGGTGTTGACATTGTTAAAAAACCCATGCCCTGCATATATACAAGAAACTTAAACTTAATAGAAAGTGAGTTTCTATTTTATACTCCCATTAGGATAAGAGTCTAAGCGTTAAAAAAGGTTCATGAGTTCATGCTGACAGATTTCTCTGGTAAATTGGCACGTCAAAAGGTTTGTGTTCATCTGTTGGTTAATTTTGCACAAGAAAATACTTAGCTAGACTTAATAGGAAGCGTACCTCCATTTGACTCCATTTGGTTAAGATTTATAAGAATTAAATAAGTTCATGAGTTCGCACTGACAGCTTCCTCAGGTATAATAAGTTCACGCATTAAAGTTTTGGCCTATAACTGTTGGAAGCAAATCCAAATTTAGCACCAAGATACAAGGTTTCAAGGAAGACAAAATATGAAATATAGTAGTGGTAGCTCATAATAGTGTTTCAAAGTAATATTTGGTCGAATTTTACTCAAACTCAACAGTTCGCAGAAAATTGTGAATAACACTAGTGTGAATCTCATTCTTTTCGGCATTGAGCATTCTAGAGCTTGCAAAATGAGATGATCAGATCTAAGCATCAAAGTTTTGGAGAGATTTAACCAGGTTCAGGACAGAGATCTTAATGATTTGAAATGTATGACAAAATTGATGATGTGTTGCATGGACAGAAACAAGAAGAAAACTGTCATAGGAAATTGCTAGGCTGCCATACTTGAGAGACTCGCTCTTCCACATATGGTAAAATAGAAGCAAAGATACATACATAGCGGAAAATTAGTGTTACACAAATTTTGAAAAGATTTAGTCCATTATAAGATGTAAGTAGCAAATTGGAGAGTCAGCCCCAGTATTCACAGCCTTGAGCTACAAGCAGACTAGGTTATATCCAGTTGATTTCAATCCTAATTGTTTAACTGGCTTTGAAATTGCTTTGACAATATATATGAAATGATTTAGTGACTAATTATTACCAATTCAGCAATAGCAAACAACAAAAAGTCTACAGACTATACATCTGCAAGCATATATTAGTGGGCAATTTATCCATTTGTTTGTTATGACATCTTTGGACGACATTCACTGCAAACAAGCAGCTTGACCATATTACATCCTTCAACATGTGTGTCATCCAAGGCAGTGTTAGGAAAGATACTGGAAGTTAACTCAAGCTAACAGGAAGAAACACTCGGGACAATTACAAGATGAGAATGTTCCAAAAGAGAATGCAGGAGTTCAATAATTAAACAATGAGGATGTACCGCACAACAGGCGAAAATAGAACCCATTAATATTGGATAATTTCCAAATAAGCCATGAGCGGAGAACATCATGACTAACTGTAGGGTTGTTATCTGATCTAAATTCAGTAGCAATGGTGAATGTCACTGATTTAGTGACTAAGATGAAGAAAGGAGAAGAAGATAGATAGAAAGCGGAATGAAGAAGAAGAACGTGTAGAGAGAAAATCTTTTCTTATTATTCTTTCACTTAACTTACAACAATCATCTATATAGAATATTTATAGTTGCTAAGCTAGTTTAGACTAATTAATACTAGCTAACGAACTACTAACTACCATCTTAACAGAATAACTACCTAGCTGGTGAATTTACTAAACTATCCTTATTGGCTAAGTAACATTTCCTTTAACACTCCCCCTCAAGCTAGAGGGCATAAAAACATTAAATGTCCCTAGCTTGGAGCTCATGTATTGATGTTGTACTCTGTTTAGTCCTTTTGTGAATATGTCTGCAGGTTGTTCATTTGTAGGAATATACTCAGTTTTGACCATGCCTTGTTGAATTTTCTCTCTTATAAAATGGCAGTCTATTTCTATATGTTTTGTCCTTTCATGATAGACTGGGTTGGCTGCTATTTGAATAGCAGCTTTGCTGTCACAGAAGATAGTAACTGGCTGATCAACTTTTACATCAATCTCTTTTATTAATCCCAGTAGCCATGTTAATTCAGCAACAATAGATGCTAGGCTTCTATATTCTGCTTCTGCAGAACTTCTGGAGATTGTAGTTTGCTTCTTAGACTTCCATGAGACCAGTGAATCTCCTATTTTTATTAGATATCCAGTAACTGATTTTCTGGTATGAGGACAAGCTGCCGAGTCAGCATCACAATAAGCTGTAACTGTTTCATTGTTGTTGCTAAATAGAAGAATGCCTTGGCCTGGTTGATTTTTGATATATCTCACAATTCGTAATGCAGCTTCCATGTGTGATTTCTTTGGTTGTTGTAGATATTGACTGAGTGTCTGAACACTGTAGGATATGTCTGGCCTAGTAACAGTTAGGTACAAAAGTTTACCTATGATTCTTTGATAGCTTCCTTGATCTGCTAGCAATTCATCTTCTGCTAGATCATTTTTGCAGAAATGTTCATCAAACTCTCTTGTTGTGAGTTTTATGTTTGTATCCATAGGAGTGTTGATAGGTTTGCAAATTCTATTCCAAGGAAATACTTAAGTTCCCCTAAATCCTTCATTTTAAAGGTCTGTTGTAGAGCTTTTTTAGTATCTTGTATCAGATTTAGATTGTCTCCTGCTAGGAGCATATCATCTACATATACCAATACAACTATAGTTCCACTATCAGTTTTCTTCACAAATAAAGAATGATCAAATGGACTCTGATTAAATTTGAATTTCAATAGAGCTTCTGTCAACTTTGAGTTCCATTGCCTTGGAGCTTGCTTGAGTCCATACAAGGATTTTTTGAGTCTACATACAGATTTATACTCCCCCTGACTCTTAAATCCTTGTGGTAGATCCATGTAAATTTCATCATGTAGATCACCTTGTAAAATGCATTGTACACATCCATTTGATGTACATGCCAATTTCTGGAAGCTGCAATTGCTAGAACAGTCCTTATTGTTACCATTTTAACCACAGGAGAAAAGGTTTCCTGGTAATCTATACCTTCTCTTTGACTGTAGCCTTTAGCTACAAGTCTATCTTTGAATCTTTCTATCTCCCCTGTAGCTTTGTACTTGATTTTGTATATCCATTTGCACCCTATGGGTGTTTTTCCTTCTGGTAAAGCAACAACTTCCCATGTGTGATTGCTTTCTAGAGCTTCAATTTCTGATTTCATTGCATCAACCCATCTAGGATCTTTAACTGCTTCTGCATAGGAATTAGGTTCTGTTGTTTCAGAAAGAGTAGAGATGTAAGCTTGATACTTAGGTGAAATATTCTCATAGGATATATAGTTGGAAATAGGATAGGTAACATCATGATGTACATTTAAGGAGATAAAATCCTTCATCCATATGGGTGGATGTTTTTCTCTACCAGATCTCCTAGTAGTATTGATTTATTGAGTCTGTTGATTTTCAGCTGAGACAGTAGGAAGATCAGTTGAAGTATGGTTTTGTTGTAGATTTGTTGTGATTGATGGTGCAGTATTCAGTTCTTCTATCTTGTCTTGACTATCAGAATTTTGACATACTTCTGTATCTGCATTCATATAATCATCTTCATAGATCTCTGTGTTTGAAAGTTGGCAAGGAACTACTGACTGGTTGTAATCTTCCAAATGTCTGTTATATGAGTTATATTGAGTCTGAAATATAGGAGGTGGATGTGCAGTATTTTCTTTGAATGGAAAAACATCTTCTCTAAATATAACATCTCTGTTTACAAAGAACAGATGTGTGGATAGATCATACAGGATATAGCCTTTTTGTACCTCTGAGTAGCTCATCAAAACTGCAGTTTTGGCCCTTGATTTTAATTTGTCAGTTTCTTGGAAGACCTTAACACATAGACACCCTAGTATTCTTAAATGGTTGAGAGAAGGTTTTCTGTTGTATAGTCTTTCATAAGGTGAAACACCTATGACTGATGAAGGCAATCTGTTAATTATATATACAACTGCTTGAACACAGTGACCCCAGAATTTGATAGGAATATTAGCTTGAAATCTAATTGCTCTGATCACTTCTAAAATGTGTCTATGTTTTCTCTCAGCTACTCCATTTTGCTGAGGTGTATAGACACATGTTCTCTGATGTATTATGCCTAATTTCTTGAACAAATCACTGCAGAATGTATTGACAAATTCTGTGTCATTGTCTGTTCTTATTGTCTTAACCATCTTGTTGAATTGTGTTTGAACAAAGCTCAAAAAATACTGAATAACAAAACATGCATCAGATTTCAATTTTAACAAACAGATCCAAGTCATTCTGGAGAAGTCATCTACTATAGTCAAGAAAAATTTATTTCCATCAAAGGTAGGAGTCTTATATGGTCCCCAAATATCCATATATACTAGCTCAAAAACTTCAGTACTTCTAATACAACTTGTTGGAAAAGGTAGTCTGGTATGTTTTGCACAGGGACAAACATTACATTTATTCACTACTTCTGCTATAAACTCAGCTTTATTCTGAAGCATTTTCTTTAGGACAATTACAGACACATGCCCAAATCTTCTATGCCATAGACTTATTTCTTTAGCTGTAAACACTTCCTTGACAAGTAGGCTGAAATTCATATCCTTGTTAGCCAGCTGACTTAGCAGAATGTATAATCCATCTCTTTCTTTACCAATCTCCTTCACCCTCCCATTGAAGAGATCCTGAAAAATACAGAAATGAGGATAGAAGGTTGCTGCACAAGCTAGCTCTTTAGTCATCTTTGACACTGACATTAAATTGAACTTGAACTGAGGCAGATGGAAAATATTTTTAAGTGTACTCCTAGCTGATATTGAGCTAGTTCCAGTGTGAGTAACATGAGACACTTCACCATTAGGTAAACATACCCTCTTAGGGTTAGTATTTTCAACAATAGAGTTCTGATTTAGCATTTCAATATCAGACACCATGTGGTTTGTTGCACCAGTGTCAATAATCCATTCTTTTGGACAATTTGAGAATAGTAAGGCAGTACTCATACCTGTTACATTTGCTGCAGAGCTAGTGCTATTTTCAGTGTTAGTTTTGTTGAGGATTTGTAGTATTTGTTCATATTGATCTTTTGTAAATGCTCCTATTTGTGGCACTGGTATTGCCTGAGAGTTATTAGCATGACCAAAATTTTGGAAGGTATTGGTCATCTGAGTCTGTTGTGCCTGAGTCTGTGCCTGCTGATATTTTCCAGTTGAGTTTGCACTAGCTTGTTGATTTGGCATCTCTGCAAGAACATTATATGATGCAGGTCCTCCTGTTCCACCATTACCTTTCTTTTTAAACTTGAAATCTGGGGGGTAACCAATGATCTTGAAACAATTTTCTTTGCTATGTCCCTTGAGTTTACAGAAGTCACATTGAACATTATAATTCTTTTTATACTTCTGATTTCCCATATTTCTTGTATACATTGCTACATTATAATTTCCTATAGGATTTGCACCTAAAATTCCAGATGTAGCAGCTACTGCTTTTTGACTCTCATCACTAATTATCATTGAATATGCTTGATTAACTGTTGGGAGAGGACTTCTCATGAGAATTTGACTCCTGGCTTGTGAATAAGATTCATTAAGTCCCATAAGAAACTGATATACTTTTAGCTTCTGCAGATACACCACAAAATCCCTAGATCTTGGACAGTCACATCCAGGAACTGGTATTAAGGACTCAAATTCTTCCCACATATCCTTCAGCTTCGAATAATATACAGAAACAGACGAAGTTCCTTGAGTCAATGTTGCTATTTCTTTATGCAAGTTAAAAGTTCTTGCATCATATACCTTATAGAATCTTTCATACAAATCATCCCAAACTACCTGAGCATTAGAAGCATACATTATGCCACCAAGAAGACTGCTATTTACAGAGTTCATGATCCATGATAGCACAATAGCATTCACTCTCCCCCAGTGATTTCCCATAGCAGCAGGAAAATTTTCTTTCCTACAAGAACCATCTACCATCCCTAATTTGTTCCTTCCTAGCAAAGCTACACGCATTGATCGATACCAAACAGAGTAGTTTTCGATTCCTGTTAGCTGAAACGAAATAATTTGTATACCACTCACATCTGAGGGATGAAGAAACAATGCATGATTTTAATCGATACCTGCTGGCTGATTAGACGCCCCAGTAGATGTGTGATTCATCTGTGAATTATGATCTTGTTGATCACCCATTTTGCATATCTTGAACTTTTCGATACAACCAAGAACTGTGAAAATTCAGTTTGAATTTGCGGAATTGGATCAAATCAAAGCTGGATTTGGCTTTGATTGCTCCGATACCATGATCTAAATTCAATAGCAATGGTGAATTTCACTGATTTAGTGACTAAGATGAAGAAAGGAGAAGAAGATAGATAGAAAGCAGAATGAAGAAGAAGAACGTGTAGAGAGAAAATCTTTTCTTATTATTCTTTCACTTAAGTTACAGCAATGATGTATATAGAATATTTATAGTTGCTAAGCTAGTTTAGACTAATTAATACTAGCTAACTAACTACTAACTACCATCTTAACAGAATAACTACCTAGCTGGTGAATTTACTAAATTATCCTTATTGGCTAAGTAACATTTCCTTTAACATTATCAAACCAAGGAAAATATTAACAATTGCAGCTGCATCTGTGAGATTGAGCTTCCATACATCTATCAAGTACACCATCAACATCCACAAAGCATATTGCAGGGGTAATATAGCCCAATCAACAGCTATAATAACAAAAAATTCAAAAACCAAATGTTAGCATCACATGAGTGAAATAACTTGCCCAATCAACAGCTATAATAACAAAAAATTCAAAAACCAAATGTTAGCATTACATGAGTGAAATAACAAGAAATTCAAAAACCACATGTTTGCATATTGCCAAGATGTAAAGAGTTCAGCATGTCATGGAATCAAAAGCTGCAATATCAACTTTATAATCAAACATAGCTCAGAGGAATATTGGAAGCAGGAAAAATTACATAAGATTCTGTACACCATAATTGTCTCAAAACTTGTATCACCGCCTTGAACAAAATCAGTTAAGCAGATTCATGTAGGTCAAGTGCATAACAAAACCTGAACAGTAGTGGAACTTTTTGAAGAATGTGTGTGTGTGCGCGCGTGTGTATGTATAAAGGATGTTGCAGTGCTCAATTTTAGAGGTGAATGGACGAGTTGTACTTGTTCAAGGTAAATTTAACAGTTGACATTCTGCCTACTGAAGTGCATAGGTGGACTTTTCTCCTGTAGGACAAAAGCGGGATAAACACGCATCATTTATGTAAGAGAAATAGGATATACAATTGTAATCACATAAATAGAGGCCATTGACTTGACCTATTCAAATCCAAATAAAAGGCCACTCATTCTTTTAGTTCATTACCAAAAAATTACATGATATGTCATCTTTTGTAAGAAAGTATTGTCTGACAATTGACATCAGAGGCAGATGGAGCATATAATGAATAAGTTCAACCGATTGTCTTAAATTTTGTCAGAGGTAACGCATAGTTTCAACGAAACCAAGTATAAAAATGACACAGAGATAAGTACTTTGGGCAAGATACCTCTGACAACTCCTAAGAGACACTTTCTCCTCTAGATCAAGCTACCAAAATACTAGGTGAAGTATATACAACTTGAATAAAGAAATGCCTGATTTTTATTTTAATGAAATATTATTGACAAGTCATGGAGTGAATGCAGAAAAACTAAATAGTTAAATGCGAACCAAATAAAAAAAACTGAGTTCAACATTCCCAGCTGAAAGGCTCTTTTTTTATTATTAATTTATAACTCCCACGGTGTTATAAATAGAATTTTATTTATGGTAAATGTCTATATTTAGAGAGATTTTAGGGTTTATTACTTGGTGGCTAAGTCAGCCTCTCCCTATTCTATTGTAATTAATTCCAAAATTCAATAAGAATTTTCTCTCTCTTTCTCTGCAATATTGTTCTTTCTTCTTTAAATTGTTCATAACACACAGTATTTTATAGTTTGCCCTCCGGTTTTCCTCCAAAATTTTGCACCTCTAATGATAGGAAACTTCATTAATACTATTCACTCACCGGTCACTACCAAAGGACATGATGGGGTAAATGGGATCTCTATTTGAGGCCTGAGAATGAAAAAAATTCCGGGTTGGAGTGATTACGCATAAATGGACCTACTGAATTAGCCGGGCAGTGTTTGAATACTATATATATCCGAACCACGTTAAATGTTTGTGTCTCTTTTGATATACTTCTCTTTTGTTGTCTGATTTATCGTCATTCAAAATTTGCTTTGCTAGATTTCGCATAAAACTTGATTATTTCAATCCTAAAAGGCGTTATCAGAGCGAGGTTCATCTAGGCGGGTTTAGTTCTTGTCGCAATCTATTTGACGGTAATCATGATTTTTGTCTAAGAAATTTGACCGCAATGTTACTCATGTTGAGATAAATTTTGTGGTGGAGATTTGGAGATGCAACCGGTTGAAAGTTATGTGAAGAAGGTGGATCAAGTTTATTTTATCAAAAAATTCAGGCCAAATGAGAGAATTGTTACGTGTTTGTCCTGATTTTCTTACCATATTTGGTTTTCCTATTCCTTGAAGGAAGGGAAACATATTTACCATAATTGATTTTACCTTTTAGGACAAGAAAAATATACTTCTTTCATATTCGTCCAAATATGGAAGAAATATGTTTTCCTTTCCCTAAAAGGTAAAATTAATGATGGTAAATATATTGCCATTTCTTCAAGGAATAGGAAAACCAAATATCGTCAAAAAGCATAACAAACACCTAACAATATATGGTAAGAAAAAAGGACTTTGATTGATCATGGCATTTGAAACATAAATACATTTGCCGGGACTTAATTTTTCGGATTATGAAATGCATAAGAAAAAGAAAAAGTGCTTTTAATTTATGGTTACTTTTTGCCGAAAGATTTGCGAGTATTTTAACTGCAACAAGAGTTTCCACTTAAAAGTGCCCTCAAAGAGCTGCTTCATTTAAAAGAAAACTAGTAGTCGTACTCGTGCGATGCGCGATCAATATTAAAAAAATATTTGTCACTTTGTTAATTTTTCGATGTTACATTTGGAATTATCACAATTATTTGATTATCCTATTCTATATAAATAGAATAGATATTGTCTAAATTTTAATAAATAAAATCTCCATTAAATTAAAGGGACTTATATAGTCATCAAATAATTTTTTCGTTATGTATTTTTATTTATTATATTATCCAATCTTTAGTATAATTATATTATTAATAGATATTATGACACTTGTCATTATAACATTTCTTTGCCTCTCCTATTATCTATCTATCTATCTATCTATCTATATATATATATATATATATATATATATATATATATATAGATTTTTTGNTATTTTTATTTATTATATTATCCAATATTTAGTATAATTATATTGTTAATAGAAATTATGACACTTGTCATTATAACATTTCTTTGCCTCTCCTATTATATATATATATATATATATATATATATATATATATATATATATATATATAGATAGATATAGATATAGATATAGATATAGATATAGATTTCTTTGACTCTCCTATTATATATATTATATATTATATATTATACATATATTACATTATATTATATTATATTATATTATATTATATTATATATATAAATAGATTTTTCGTTTTTTTATTTCTAAATAATTTTAAAACTCCAATTTGAAACTACTCCCCAATTTGAATTGGTAATTTATTATTTTTTTTATTTTAAAACTCCAACTTGAAACTACTTCCCAACTTGGTAGTGTATATATAAATAGATTTTTCATTTTTTTAATTAAAAATAATTTTAAAACTCCAATTTGAAACCACTCCCCAATTTGAATTGGTAATCGATTATTTTTTTTAATTTTGTTTTTTATTTTAAAATTATTTTAAAACTCCAACTTGAAACTACTTCTCGATTTGAATGGGCAATTTTACTTCTCTTTTTTCGTTTTCTTTATAGGTTAATTTTTTTTTTTGATTTTTATTTTAAAATAATTTAAAAACTCAAACTTGAAACTACTCCCACCCAATTTGAATGGGTAGTTATTTTTTATATATTTATTTTTGTTGTTTTTTTATTATATTTAATTATAAGATATCTATATTTATTAAATTCAAATAAAGTAACCTATATATATATATATATATATATATATATATATTAGCTTTTTATTTTATTTTATTATTTTCGTTTTTTTATATGTATATTATATATAAATAGAATTTTCTTCTTTTTTTAAAAAAAATAATTTTAAAACTCCAATTTGAAACTACTCCCCAATTTGAATTGGTAATATTTTTCATTTTTTTATTTTAAAATAATTTTAAAACTCCAATTTGAAAATACTCCCCAACTTGAATTGGTAATTCATATTTTTCTTTTTTAATTTTTTTTTATTTTAAAATAATTTAAAAACTCAAACTTGAAATTGCTCCCACCCAATTTGAATGGGTAGTTATTTTTTATATATTTATTTTTCGTCTTTTTATTATATTTAATTATAAGATATCTATATTTATTAATCCAAATAAAGTAACCAATTAATATATATATATGATAGTTTTTTATTGTATTTTATTATTTTCTTTTTTGATATGTATTTAAATTTAAAAATAAGTAACCAATAACTAATTATAAACTCAATAACTAATTAGTAACAAATTATGCCATGTGGCATTTTTTTAGGCTGCCACTTGTGTCACGCCCCAAAATCCGAGGAGCGCGACCGGCGCTCAACCGAGTAAACCCGACCGAGCAAGCATGTTAGATCTCATTCTACCCAATCTAACTCGTGAATAAATAGGAGATGGACTCCACTAATCAAATTCTATAAACATATCATTAACGGTTTCCATTTCATTTTCAATTAGCAACTTCATTCGCAATATTAAAGGTATTAGAAGTTTTATACATTGCTAAACATCAATACTTCTATTTTAAATTCCCATGCCCGACACTACCCACAACCTGTCTACGGAGCCTCTAACTACAACTAAAGAATAATATGGAAATGCCGGCAACAAGGCTCCGGCTATACCTTACACAAAAATTAAAATAAAACTCCGGAAACAAAGCGGCCTGAGCCACGCAGGGCCCTGAGAGGAAAGGGGCTCACCAAAACAGCTGATGGAGGACGAAGGGGAGCTACGATCGGTGAACTGGAGTACCTGCTATGGATCCACCTACAATCATAACACGAATGTAGCGCCCCTGGCAAAAAGGACGTCAGTACATTTGAATTGTACTGGTAGGTTTGATCAAACATTGCTCCAAGTAAACTCAAACCATAAACAAGTAAGTAACAGTAATAGAAACAACAATCAAATCCACAAAGAAGGAACAATCAAGCCAAACAAGTTTACAATCTCTCCTGTTTCCCCTTCCACATTTCCACATCAATATTTTCACAATTTGTTCATATTTTCATTTCCATAGTGATTTCGATCACTTTCCACCCTTATTACCTCGACCACCCTTATTACCTCGGCCATCTTTATCACCACAACCCACACCTTATTACTTCGTATTGCGACACGCAATCCGATCCCACCGAGCAATCACAATTCACAAACAATGCCACAGCAATAACAATTTACATGAACAAGGATAACAACAACAAATCTCAAGGTCAACAACATCAAATCCCAATAACAACAACGACAAATCTCAAGGAATAGCAGCACGATACACAAGGGATTTCTTTAACCATTAATGCCATTTCCTTCTTATTCAATAGCCCAATGCACAATTTAGTTCACAACGGTAGTTTCCCACAACCAACCACATATAATGTTACCATATTTGTTTCAATTGCATCGATTACAATTCCTTTCCATTATTGGTTCCACATCTTTTACCACATAACACATTCACAATCATAACTTGGTTTGTTGCCAACTACTTGCATCATCTTATCGGAAGACTTAACCAACAACATTCAAGGCACATAAATCTCATGAATTCACAAATAGTCGCATAAGTAAACACGTATTACTAGCAAGAGTTAACTTCACAAATAACCCACGTAGATAACACGTACAAATATTGAACACTAAGCAAGGTTATCTTACAAAGGTCAAAGTTAGCCATACATACCTGGAGCCGAATTCCCTTTCAACTTCTATTTTCAATTCACCAAATAATCTAGCAACGTCAATCTAGTGCACAATTTAATACACATA